TTATGCCTAGAGAGAGACAACATCGTGTTGAAAACTGCAAACAGAATTTTATAAATCTATATGGATGATCTATATTATTACAATGACTATAAAAAATTCAATAATACATCCTTTACATTAAAATTCACACACCTTAAACAATATTAAACATATATGATTATGCGGATTGAATTACTAATATGAAAAATAATGTAGCACGGCTAAAGAATTTATAAATAACGAAAAACATCAAATTCCATTATTAGTTTTATCGCCAAACAGTTATACATCAAGAGCGAATCAAAGATTTTTGTATTTTTTCTCATGCATATTTTATTGGTATTAAACAATTCAAAACGTAATACATGTTTTTATTACGGAAAAATAACCGTCTACAGATGTAGAATACACGAACTAACTGCATACACGAAACCATAAGTGTACATAATGATTTCTTTACAGCTACATTTAACAAAAATCGATTAAAGTAAAACGCTTAAATCAATTAATTATTAAATTATAGTTACGATAATGTTATATTATAAAATCGAATAATTATAATCGGGCTCAGAATGTGTTTTATTTATTTATTTCCATTACTTCTTAATTTTTACTCGTCGTCATCGGTGGTATACAACACACTGACACGACGATTGAGTACAATTTACCCACACAATATATTATATACACTATATACAGTACATATTATGTGCGTGTACAATATTACATGCGTAAGGTACACGACGCGTATTACTAGCTATAGCACATCTAGAAAACAAAACTCATGCGATGACGTCACGCCCCGTTTTTATTATATTCGATCCGGTTCGCACAGTACATCGATGATAAATAGTAGATATATACGTTGTATAGTACATACCTATAGGATCTGTCTGAATAGAATTGTTTTTTAATCACATATACACAGTCGATAAAAAATGACACACGAAACGCGTATAAAGCCAATCATTTTTTTTATTACTATCCCAACGCACCACGTGTACAATAAATATTTTGAAAATTAATTGTATATTATTATGTTCAGATTTCCTCTTTATTATGCACACGAAATCGATTTATTTTTAATCCATGATAAATTGCAATCAAGAAATATATCTACAACGATTCGCGTTGTATAATAACTGCAGGGCGAAACAACGATGATGACGATGATAATGATAATATCAATAATAATAATCAATAATCAATAATATCAATAATAATATCATAATAATATGTGCTTCGTGCGTCACATTAATAAAGTATTAAAATACGGGTGATGTCACAGGTAGTTATCGAAATATTCAACAATTGAGTAGTTAATATCGAAGCGTTTTGTTTGTGTACTATTTCTATACAAACGCATTGGACATATAATAAAAAATATTAAAAAAAAAAACCAAATGCACAACAAAAATCATTATCCTGTTTTTAAAACCCCGTTCTCTCTTACAACCTATAGTCCGCTATATTCAGTAATAATTATTTCTTGCATCGTTCATGTTTTTCTTTAACCCTTTCCCATAAACATATGCTGTTTGTGGGTTGAAATATGAAATATATTAATTTTATGAGCATTGAATGTGATTAGCCTAAAGTTTATGGTTTCATTTAATAATCGTTATACCAAGCATCAAGCATTATTTTTTGAAGTGAGTTTTTTGTACTAATTTAAATAAATATATCACGCGTCAATATATATCTCCACGTCAAAGAACAAACATAAATGTAAAATAAAAACTTATAATACCATAATACTTAGCAACCTGTTAATTTCAATGAAAATTGCATATTCTTAGAGGTTTAATATTCCTAAAGTTTTAGTTGAGAAAACATTTACAAGAAGGTATGTATACAAAAATAGTTCACAATCAGGTCAAATCGAGTTATTTTAATCGTAAAAAGTAAATGAGCATAAATAAAGTTTATATTCGAGTATTTATTTTTAACAAAAATTGATTTGTAAAGCTCAATCAAGAACCAAGATAAAATGATTTGTAAAACTACCAAATAACAAGTAAAATTCAAATAGGAAACTTTCAAACAAATTTAATATTGCATAAGATCTTTAGAATGAAATTAATTTGACTTTGATCCATGTTATATAAATATAAAATTATAAATAACAATATAAAGGTTATCAGTGACAATGTTTTTTTTATAATCGTAATATTTGTGAAAATAAAGAAAATTATATAATAAAAAATATGAAAATTCGATTTTAAAATTATATATTAATTTTAGTGTATATTTTTATGTGGGAATATTTAAACTGAATGCGTTTATTTTAAAAACCAAATACTAAGTATATCAAAAAAAGTATAAATGTAAAAATTCTCTTGTTTTATGAAACTCAATATGTATATAAATATTTTCCATTATGAAAAACTAATGGAAAATTGAATAAAAACTTCTCTGGAGAATCTGCATGACATACTATAAATATAGTTTTATAACTTTATAAATTGAGATCAGAAAAAGTAATTTTTTTAAGATCAATAGATTTCTTTCATTCAAAAATTAAAACTTATATACAGAACAACGCATTCAATAAAATTAATTAATGTAACAGATTTTAGTTGAAAAAATATTTTTATAGGTTTTATAAAATGTTTTCGAGATAAAAAAAAAACACTTGATACAGAGATTTATGAAACTTATCAATAAAACAAAAATTTAACAGGATAGTAAAAAACTAATTTAGAGTAGTAGCTCTTCACTATGGTATTCAATTATTTGTATATATTTGAATGCGTAATAATAAATCATCACTTTTGAGAAAATTCTGTACTAACTAAACTTAGGGTAAGCCTTGTATTATGTTTTAAAACCATAAAATATGAATTTACCTGTTTTATCAAATTAAACATAGACACTTGTCGAACAAAATGTATCATAATTTCCAAGTGTATTTTTTATTTCTTCCTTCATGTATCAGATATGCAAGCTAATTATAAATTCGAAAAATAATCTTGCCGTTATACCATCTGATTTTAATTACTAGCCTTTCAATTCCCGAAAGTTACGGAGTAGAACTTTAAAAACGGATTTCATATTCGAAAGTGTTAAAAAAAAATATATAAAACCGTTATAAAACATATTCTTCGTTGCGTACAACATCTAAGTATATATAATTAAATAAAAAAATTATAAATCTTTGTGATTCATTTAGTGAGTCTAACAGTACTTATTCGAGAATAATAAATAATGATATAGTGCTCACTTGTATTTATACTTATGATGAAAATTTCAAAATTAGTATTTATAACATCTATTTAATATAATATAGAGTTACTCCTTCAAAATATTTCTTCGTAAATCATACTTTGTTTAATAAACTTGAATGTGAAATTTTAAATGGTTTGTTTTTCATCATATTTATTCGCTTCTTAGTTATTATATACGATACGGTAAGGAAATTAACTATGATTTATAAAATATTATTAACAGTGATATTATATTACGTATAAAAAGTTAAACAAAGTATGAATTTAACAAAACTGCTTAAAAATTATTAATTTTTGAGTATATTTGTAACAATAATACATACCAATGCGGTATAATATTATTTTAAAAAATGTATTGGATATAATATTCGTTTGAAAGACTGACGATTTATCTAGATTTTCGCAAGAAATTATGGTAAAAGGCTTTATACATGTAATTATAAAATAATTAAAATGAGTTCAAAATATTTGCTTCATTTGAGAAGAGTTTGATGTGTTATAAATGAAAAAAAAAATACTATTTTATTCTTTCTTTGAAGATATATAAATGAGGTACCAATATATATATATTGTTTTTATATATTTATAATTCAATTTAGTTAACCACGAATGTCGATCCTCATCCGGATTCCGATGTGAGTTGAAATAAAAATAAAAATAAAATTAACTCATTCTATTCACGCACAATACACAGCTACTGCCATATCAATAGGATGTATAATATACACGAATCTAACGGAAAGAAAAATCAAAACACTAATAAAGCTTATTTTTACAAAATACGTAACGACCACGATAAGTGATTAGTTTCCAGTGGTTTAATTTGTAAAAATCTTCAAAATTCATAAAATACACATTACCATGGCATGCGAATTGACCACGGCGGAGGATCCTCAGATTAATACCTATAAGTAACTGCAGACGATTGCTACATTCAACTTCAAAGTTTGAGCTTAAACTGAACACAGCTCTAACCCATTAATCCAGTATAAGGCTTTTACACCGCAACTAAAGGTATAGCTTTATAATAAACAGCTGTTTATTATATTCGTATTTTTTTAACAATATTATTATAACAATGTTATACTATAAATACCGAAAACTATATTCTACTGTAATTATTTGTAAAACGGCATATCGTAGATTTAATGTCCTCTCATACGAATGTGGAGTAAATGTTTATAAAAAAAATTTTATAATGTTTAAATATATATATTTCATTATAAGTTTGAAATACTATAAACGTGTTTTTTCTTTGTTTTAGCTTATGTGAAAATAGGTTAAGCCTATAAGTTTTCTCGACCAGCTGACTACATACTCACTTCTGTGGATTTCTAACCCGAGAATAAAACGTGAACACCAATTATAATATTATACTCGTAGAATTTACTCATAGAATCAAACTTACATTACATCAAATAACATTGATATAAATATATAAATATGCTAAATTAATTTGATACAAGAACATATCTAAATCGCTATAGTTTTCTGAATTAAGAAAATTACAGTACTAATCGTGATGACCCTGTACATATAGCTAGGCACGTTTTTGACATAAACGCGTGTATTGCAATGTTTGTACATAGAAAAGCGACAGCGCGAAAGAATACCGCGTACAAGAAGGCAAAGTATATCCGTCACAAACACCATGCATAATAACACTTTAATAACAATATTAAAAATTATAAAACTATAGAAACGATGATAATAATAGTACTAATAATAATAATAATAATAATAATAATAACGATACAAATCACAGGGGATACAAAAGTTCAAGGATATGTGTACCTGAATGATATCGTTTCTCATTATGCGTGACGCGTCTTTGTGTGCGCCTGGTGCGATGCTGGTGGTGTTGAACTTGCTGAGAAGACGGCTGTTTAGTGTTCGAAGCCGAAGGGAGAGCAGCTGCAAATTATATACAATACATACGCTTGGTTCAGAGCACACTATCAATACAATATACAATATAGGTCGTACGTATGATAATTATAACATATAATATTACTATATATGTGTGATGGACAAATTAAAGACTTCACAATGTATCTTTATTATATATATATATTATATCACAAAGAATATGACATAATTTATAATACAGCACTCTCATATAATATACAGATATCAAACATTGAACTCTTAAAGGTCACCGTAAAAATACATTTCCATATATACGTACATGTAAAATACCGTGCAATTTAAATTATACACATAGGTTTAAAGTATTTATACAACACACAACAAATAAAACGGCTAATGTTTATTATATATTATTGCACCCCTAAGTTAGTATTGCATTGTTAAATTATTTTTCGAGTAACAATAAACGTAAGCTGGCTTTTTTTTTTTTTTTTTGACTGTAGTTTTTAATTATTTCAGATTTTTACAGAATTTTTAACACAGTCAAAAAAAAAAAAAAAATATAATCATATAAAACATTCAGAAATCATTTATTCTCTAAAAACTGAGCAATATTTTACTGCCGAACAATATTTAACAAGAACGTACATATTTACAGTGTATCAGAGACTTAAATTAGTTTATACTACACGCAAATTTGATAGGAATTCTAACTTTTGTTTTAAATAAATATAGAGTCACTGACTAGGCATATTTTAAAAACTGTTTATTACAGAGAATATAACTTTTGATTGAAAAACTCCAACTTCTTAATGTTTTGATATTCATCTTTTTAGTTTGTATCTAATTCTGTACTACGATAAGTGGTTTACATTTACTAGAATGAAAATATAAAACATATAGTCTTTTAATACAATGTCTTAGACATACACAGTTAAATAAATGGTATAAAAATTTGGTCAGGATAGTGTAATTTTACTGTATTAGATTTGAATGCAATGATTGCATTCGATAAAAAACTATTCTGAGCGGACGAGAGAATCTTTTTTATTTAATTTTATTCGTTTCTAGGGTGATAAACAAAGCGTTTTAAGAACAGCTTAAGAACGATTTATATAAATAGGTAATTTATATAATTAAAGTTATAATTTATAATAAGGAAATATCATAAAAATGAAAAAAAATATAAAATAAAAAAAAAGCTCAAAAGTCACTCAAATGTTTTGAAAATTTTACCATATCTAGGTAAGGAGAATATAAGCAAACAATCCAAATTTCAAGTTTTTACGAATGTTTTTAACCGAATTACAACAAAAAACTCTCAAAATTAAAATGTCTATAAATAGATCAAAAATGGCCAGAATTTTCCGAACTGTAAACTGTAAGGAACAAAATCCAAAATACAACAAAAAAGATATGTCTCTTGTCATTTTTCATTTGAAGCAATATTTCTAGTAAAAAACGTTGTCAATAATTATTTAATATTATAAAATCGTGAAATCGTACGTTTTTTCTACTTTAACCACTTTTATTTCGAGTACCGTTTCGAAAATCGAAAAATTATCTCTCTAAAGTACCAGCTCAAAAATATTACCTTTCAGAAAAAGATGCTACACTTGATACTTTTGAGCAAGTTTAGAAGGAGAAAAAGTGTTTACAGAATAAAAAAGAAAAAGAAATAAACATCATTGTAAAACCAATACATTCCTCGCTCCACTCAGAATCTAAAATCTAAATTAAAATTTAATTTAAATCTAAAAATCTAAATTCTTGTTTAATCTAAAATTAAACAAATTTTACAAAATTTATTTCTGATTTATTTGAAAGATTTTCTAAATTAATTTACTATTACAACAAGACGCTATAATACAACCAAAAGGTTTTCATTTAATTATACGCTGACTTTTCTTACAAACTGATTTAATACTTAATACATTAGTTATAAAATAATAAGTACCTAATATATTATACCAAACACATAAGACGATAGTAAAAGTAACAACATGAATATATATATATGAAAAATTGAGAGGAATTTCGTTATTATTTCCATTCATATAATATAAAATGTAGGTCAAATGTTGAGAGAAAAATAGCATATACCGAAAGAGTGACTGAAAAAATATAATTATACTTCTTTTAAAATAATAAACAGAATATACCAAAGGATACTGAGTAAATTATAAAGTATACCGTATTAAAGATATCTGTCCAAATATTATAACCGTTTATATAAAAAAAGGTTCAAGTGATTATCATAACCTGTTGAAAATAGTGCATTAATAGTACATTTGCAGTGCAAACTGATTCGTATAAAAAAAATTAAGTAGTTATTCATTTGGATGAATCATTCGTATTGATGATTTATATAATATAATTTAAAACGATCATATATATAATACATATTGTATGTACATATATGATCATTATATAGTTTTACTCGGATAACATGTTTCATTAGTAAGTAGGTGGAACTTAAGTGTATAGATAAAATCTATGTGCATTTAGAACTCACCTAGCCTTGTACAACCTACGAAAAAATTATAGTTTTTCTTGTTTTGTATAATATATTACCGTAGAACCCACCGACAACAAAATGATTTCAAACAAAACAAAATTTGAATATCAATACTACATTTTTATCTTTGTAATATATTTGTTTAGATAGGATATCTACTATGTTTCTCATCAAATATTATCATGCGATTTTTAGATACGTAAGAATTGTCATTCCATTGATTTGAAATCAGTTTTTAACTGAGTTGAACTGAATGGTTTTAAATATTTAAATAATTAATTAAGAAGTTAAATCTATGTACACATATACAAATATGATGATTAAAATAGAAACTTTAACTTTAATCCGTTTAAATTATATTTCATGTCATAATGTATAATCGATTTTAATGAACTTAACTGCGTAGTCTAATTACATTATAAAGTTTGATGCCAGCTTTTCAGAATTAAAAAAAAATATCGTGATTTCAGAATCCATACAAAATAAATTTACAATTAACACGCAGTGCTCTGTCATATCTTAAACTCATTATCTTAACTTTGTACTTAACTTATTATAATTAATAAAAATTAACCGTAAAATAAGATGAAAAATATTATATATAATAGACGACTGTAGAATTGTTAACCTCTACACATTTTGGCTATATAATCCTAAGTTGAGTGATGTTTGTAAGTGTGGACATTTGAGATAGGATATTTTATTATTTACGTCATAATAAAAAGGGACGATAAGAAATCTAAATGGAATCGGAAAGAAAAAAGAAAAATAAGAATGAAATATTTTTAACTATATGTTGACCAAAAAATGTAAATCGACTTTATCGTTAAACGAAATTGTAAAAAGTCTAATGATTACAAACCTTGAGGGGGCTGCTTAGGAGCATAAGGAGCTAAAAGCCTCGTCTTCTTTTTTTCATAACCCTTTTGCGTTATATCACCTGAAAAATAAAAATGAATACATTAGAATTTGATACATCGAATAAATAGATTTGGAAAAAAATTGATAAGAGAATATGTAGGTATGCGAACGTACTGCAGTTTAATATATCATATTAAACTATAATCAACTAATTTTTTAAAAACAGTACATACAAAGTTGGTTGTCTCATATACTGCATATGAATAATTGTATACTAAGTGATTTAAATCAACCAAGGGCTTATTGCAAAAATAATTTCAACATAAATTATATATAAACATAATTGATGATATATTGGCAGGTACAAAAATAATGATCCAGTATAATTACATTTAGGCATGCACAAATTATACAATACTATGTAATGAATAATATGTAGACAAAATATTTTTAAACTTAAGTTTTTTCAAACTAGATTTTTTTTAAGTTGTATAATATTCCTAATTGTTTAGAATATATGTTGCGATTTATTGTACTTAAATTAAATTATTAAAAACATTTTACTACTTCCAAACTAATCATACTTTTAAATTACCTTCAACGTTTTTAAATTTAAATTAAATTTTTTTATTTTATTATAGAAAATGGAATATGGTTATTATATTGTAATTGAAATACAACTTTAAATTATAATATTGATAAATTGTAGGTATATAATAAAACAATTAATACGGACAGCAAACAATCATGGTATTTAAATAAATTTAAATAAAGTCAATACTCTTTTAGAACATTTTAGTACTCAGAATAGGTTACATGGAGTACATGGTTATGGCATTTTTCAATTATACATGCATTCATCTTTAAAATAAATTAAAATGTCACAGTCAAACTGCAAAGACATCCAATTATTATTTATAATGCATTTTATAGAGAAAACAATCACTATATACTATATAATCTAAACATATATTTATTGTATTCGAATTAGTCATACATTTTTAATATGACGTTCATATATTTGAAACCAATGACACATGAAATCAACTTTTTAGAAATACTGAATTTATTCAGTTCAAAGAGGGAAAAAACAAAAACTCACATTAAAATAAAAATATAATCGTTTAACATTTAATAGATAATATTAAATTTCAACGATGATCCTTATCGTTATTCTTCAAGCAGTCGATGGTGGGATTCATAATATGGTTGTCCATCACATATTTATCAAATATTTTGAACATCCACCCACTGACACCTACCCACATTCACAATGTAAAGGTACAAACGCATACCCATAATATAACAACGATTCAAACCGCGTATTCGAATCAAACATTTTCCGGCAAATTAGGCCAAAACGTGGTGGTCGAATAGAGGGAGAGGGAATAGATAATCAATAGCGCGGTGACATCATTTATAAACATAAATCGTGCGTCGCCACTGTCCATTGACAGATATTCACTTACACGGGACAAACGACCACTATAAATTACATGTATAACCGACCCAAGCAGCATTGACGTGAAAAACGAGCTGTTAACTGAAGTCTTGCCTACACAGACCATAAAGAGCTGATAGTACAAAAATGCATCGTGGACGACGAAAAGTGCAACACTGCAAGCAAGAATCGGACCGAATCCAATACGCGGCGCTCATCTTGTGCACAGCGATATGTTCGGAAAACGTCATGGATAAAAATATAATTATAAAAATTAACATTTCCGATTGATTTCTAATTAATCGGAGAGTAAAAGTTTTTCTTTAGTGATGAAACAAGAAGAAGATTGTTTACTTTATTTTTTTCTACTTATTGTAAACATTAGGTCGAAATAAATTACCATAGTTATTTTTATGTGAATATGACCATAATATGAACATACAAATTTACGTGTAGAGTGCAAGCATACGGAGATATCGATTTCCATATTATAATCCACATACGTATTTCGTCCTTGCACAGAACCCAACGACAAGGAAATATTACCGCAGCTTTGGTTGAGCGAGAATTATATTAGGGACAAAAAAATACTGTCGGAAAAACGGGAGAAAAAAAACCCCTGATGTAAATAATATCATATTATAAGATGTACATGTATAAATCTAATGCCATAGATACAAACGCGAAATACCATCGATAAGCGTTTATATTATACATATATTATAATAAGATATGATACAGAGGTAAAAGTAGAGTTTTTTGATGGTGCGTGCGTGGAAAAGCGAAATATTAAATAAACGTCCTCGTTGTCAACAAACGGAGGAGAAATGATGATATGTATACATATTTAGGCAGTGAAACGAAGAAATACAACACTTGTTGTTATCTCCAGCAGAGCAGTTCGTCTCGGTGAAAACGCATATATTTCTTTTTTTCTTTTTTTCTGTTCTATTCGACAACGACGCGGACTACTACTACTACTACTATTACTATACGTTATTTGTGGCAGAGTTAAGGGTGCGCGCGCGCGCGTCTAAATGGCGTGTAACAACAATAAAACGGAGTGCAGAGAAAAAATCGACCGAACATAACGCGATTTGTCCGAGAGGCGATAAGCGTATTACGCGACAACGGTCTAACGTGAAGTAAACGCGAAACTTTGAAATAGCATGGGCGCCGGATATTACGTAAAAGGTTCGCGTACGTGCACGCGCTAGATGAGAAGAAATTGCGGCCGTTTCGAACAGTAAAGCTCATAATCGTGAAATTTACAAAATAATACGCACAATATCCGCCATGTCGATGGAATCGAGTACACATTGATCTAGCCCAGCGGTTCTCAAACTTTTTTTCGCATACCACTTGAATATATTATCAATCAGTAACATACCACTAATAATAGAACCATACAAACTTTACCTAATAAAATAAATTTATTTTAAACATAAAGGCAGTAAAATACTACAGTAAAATTACTATTTATTTATAAAAATGTACAAATGTCTTTAAATTAATATAATAGTTAAATATCAAATTTTCAATTTCCGTTCTACCACGGCCTTCCGCGTACCACCTTATAGTCTTTCGCATACCACTAGTGGTACGCGTATCACAGTTTGAGAACCGCTGATCAAGCCAATGTTTCAATCGATATTATTGAAGGTGTGCAAGATAGCAGTCTGTGTGCTCCTCGACCAAGGAGCCAGACGAGCAAGTGCACCGGCCTCTCGTGCGTCGTCATCGCGCACACCACGGTTAATCTGGCGTTATGACCTGCACAAGCACGACCGTGGTAGTGGTTTCGGTTATTGTTATTACGGGAGTCGTTGCTGTCGTTACCACCACGTATTACAACTATTACGTAATTGAAACTGATAATAATTATCGGCTATAAGGCATTGTCGGGCCAGCCTGTGTGTACCTACTTTGATGGTCGCTGTTGAAACACATGAAGCTAAATTGCGAATTAAGAATGTGTGTGTGTGTGTGTGTGTGTGTGTGTGTGCAAATACTGCATAACATATACTATATACAGAGGAGAAAAATACGCAAAAGGATAAAGAATTTCAGCGCTGGGAGTACAAATGTTAATTAACTATTCAACTAAAGAATAATATGGGACACGCGGAAAAGGAGGACAAAAGAATAATAATAATAATATGGAATGTGTGTGCATGTGTTCATATATCATATGAATTTTAAACGGATTTTTATGATGAGTCAGAGCGTAAAGAGAACGACGACAATCTATATGCGACACGCAAAACTTATTGATCGCAACAATTGAAACGTTGTACAATTTTTTTCTTTCCAATAACCTTTATTAAACATTGTTTCATTATTATTCTAAACGTTTAATACCTGTAGCGCGTCACGGTTGTGCGAATACGGCTTACAACCGTGTGCGGACGCGTGTTCCTCAATTAGAGATAATATTTGTCAAATGTATGCAATCACAAACGTTAATAATAATTACGTGTACACAATGGCGCACGTAGGGGGAAGGGGTCAATGGGTTGTAACCCCCCCCCAATTTTTTCCGATGTCTAGGTCAAAATTTACAAATTTTACAAGTTTGAAATATGAAGAGCTAGTATTGAATACCTAGTATCATTGATTATAGAATAGTCTATTCTATTATCAATGCTATTATTTAAGTCAAAATATATTAAGGAATTGCATAATTTTGTTAATTGTAAAATGTGTTATATTTTTACCTTGACACCCCCCCCCCCGAAAAAAATCTTGTGTGCACCACTGCGTGTATATGCCGCAAAATGTGTGCACTAGTCGATAATGAACACAACTGCTTCGGAGTATAAAATAAGTATGGCGACGATGGCAATGACAAATTCGTTGTATTATTGTGAATCGTATACAATGTACCTATAATACATAGTGGAATTACGGTGTTAGGTCAGTCCGTGAGTAATAACGTCTTTTTACGATTTACTGAAAATAGATCGAGCAAGGTTTTATAGTTATTTGTATGAGGAAGTTTACAAAAATCCATTTCCCTTTATACGCGCGCGTTAGTCCAATACACGAGATGAAAACTCAATAGGTACTTAATATATATGATATATAGTGTACCGAAGTATATTTTCAAATAAATAAAGACACAGTATTTTAAACGAAACATTTTCGTTTTAAAAATAATACATTATAATATAATGTATTATTTTTATTTATTGGACAAGATTACAATATATTATATTATAATCTTAATTAGAACCATCACGTTTGACAATATACTTATGTGCGTGTGTGTGTGTGTAAATGGATAGTTTAATATCCGATGTGCTATGGACGTATATTTAGGATTTTTTAACACTTGTTTTTTCACATTTATCGGCCAAATTTTAAGAAACGCACTTGAAATAAGCTACAAATATAGTTAACTACGATAATACTCACGTTGCATATATAATTCGAATTGTATGTAATTCCTAAACAGTAATAAGTTATTACTGTTTTTATTTTAGTTATTACTAATAACTAATATAATATTAAAATTAATGTATACATGATTACGATTACCTAGAAATTATCATACATTCACAATATAGACAAAAAATATGTTTACATATATACCTATATAAATTACTTTTATAAAATTATGATAAACAGATGATGTA